TATGTCCTCTTTGTAACATGGTTTGTTTTAGATCATTGGTGTGTTTTCTGTAGTCTGTTTCATGTGAGTATAGTTTCTTTATTCTAAGGGCTTGACTGCAGGTAATGTTTCGTTTAGTGTGAACGGGATGACAGCTTTCATAGTGAAGGTATTGTGGTCTGTCTGTAGGTTTTTTGTACAAGTTCGTGTGTAAAATTCCATCCTTTAAAAAGACAGTGACATCAAAAAAGTTAATTTGGGTGGGTAAGTAATCAAAGGCAAACTTGATTGTTTTGTGAAAGGAGCTTGCATATGAGATAAATTCTTTATGTGATTCAAGACTGGCTGTCCAAATGAAAAATATGTTGTCTGTATAACATTTCCATATATGAGGTTTTACAGGGCTTAGTTGTAAAAGTTGGTTTTTCAATATGACCCATAAAAATATTGGCATAATTGGGAGCCATTTAGGTTCCCACTGCACCCGTTAACCTGAAGGTAATGTTTGTTATTGAATTCAAAGTTGTTCAGAGTTAAAACCAGGCTGGCAAGAGCAGTTACTGTTTGAGATTCTGATGGGTTAGAAAGGTGTAATGCAGGCTTTAGAGTTTGTAGTCCTTCATGATGTGGAATATTAGTGTAGAGGGAAGAAACAATCAATGTGCAAAGAAGACTGTTAGGTGGTAACTGTCCATTAGTATTAATATCTTCTATGATATTAAGAAAGTGAGTAGTATCCTTTATATAAAACAGGAGGGTACAGGGAATACATTTGTGTTGGTCAACAAAAGCAGACAGCTTTTCAGTAGCCATGTTTATGTTAGAAACCATGGTTCTGCCAGGATTGTTTAGTTTGTGTATTTTTGGTAAGAGATAAAATCTACTAGGAAAAGTTTGTCTGTGTATCAAATACTGAAAGGTCTCTTTGTTAATTTTATTGTTTTGGAGAAGCTCTTTAAGTTTATCAGTTATAGTCCTAATAAACTGAGTTGTAGGATCATATGAGAGTTTTTTGTAGAAATTAGTGTCCTCTAGTTGCCGATTAGCTTCCGTGATATAGTCATCTTTGTTAAGATGACCTTCACCATGTCATTCAACTCTCTTTATATATCACTCATTGGATTACACCATCATTCCCTGTTTGCCCCTGATAAAGAAAAGTCCTCCTTTCAAAAGCACTTGGGTTATAGGGTTTTTATTGTCTTGTATCAAGACTTCTTGATACGTGTTTTTCTGACATAAATAAAATCATGCACAAGAATTCCTCAACTTGCCCATAGTTCTCCATTCTCCCACTTTCCACGTGACTTATTGTACCATTCTATAGTTTCAAAGAGAGTGGAAGATTGAACACTTGTCAGACTTAACTAAATATTCACCTGGATACACCTAATTTCAATTTCAAAAGAGGATGTTACAGAAGCTTCTTCATTGCAGACATTGGGTGAGAGGAAGCTTATCTTCAAAGCCAATTCATCCATCATCACATCACTTTATTCATTTTTGCCATTGTGACACTTCTCTTTGGCTTGGCCTTGTCTCTCTACATTGTCTTTTAGGTAGTCAAAGTATTTGATGGTTCTCTCCATTACCTCATCACCAATTTCAATTGTTACATGGACAAAATTGGCATATTCTGACCCTTTTTTCCACTCAGTATTGTGCACTTATTTGACCACCCAACTGGCTATATCTCTTAGGTTGGATCATCCACAACACCAAATCCTATATAGTACCGACAGTATTTGGTACACCGGGCATTTTGGATCAACATGGCTCAAGTAACACATCAGATATTGCCTGTGGTGTTGTATAAAGTGAAGTCTTCTCTTCATATCCTTCCAACTTGAATACCATCTGCTAGACATTTTTTCTGCTTTAGGACTAATGGTCTCATTTTACGAAGTCATTCCCTTGGGGCATGCTTAAAAGTCATTTGGAACCTTGCTTCTCAGTGGCATTTGACTAAAGTCTCATTATCATAACATCACAACTTCTTTTTCGTCCTTTTTCTTTTGGCCTTCATCTATTCACAAATGCCTTTTTCAAAGTTGAGGCACTGTGTTGAGGAATGAACATTGTTTTGATTCTTCGATTCCTTAAGATGCAACAAGTCACATCAATGTGTTAGCCTATTCAAAGTTTCCATTTTCTTCACCACTATTCTGTGTTAATTTACACTGGCAGTTCTACTGTGATAGCTTACGTCAGCAACTAGGATGGTAATAATTCTTGCAGCTTTTGTGTTGCTGCAGTTTCTCTACTTCTTTAGCTTCATTCTTAACATATTAACCTTTGAGCTTGCTATATTTCTAGGTCATTCAATGATTGATGCCTTCACTACATTAATCACCTTTCAGAACCAGATTGTCTGGTAGTGGATGCCCTGAGTGAAACTTGATAAAAACTCTTCCTTTATGCTTACCGTCTGCCTTTTTCCTTGGGTCTTGGCCAAGGTCAGTTACTTGAAGTACCAGGTTCTCCTCATTGCTCCACTTTGGCCTGCTCAATCATGGTTTCCCCTGTTACATTACCAGGGAATCATCATATATGACAACATTGAAGGCTCATTTTTCACAACAACATTTGACACTAACAGCTTCATGGCTGTTTCAGAGTGGCCTTATCTGCCACTTTTAGATGCCCTAGGAATCATCAGTCCCTTTTTTTTCCACATGCATTATTCAAAGACCTTTTCTGAGCTTTTGTCTTTAATGATCCAGAGTTCATAGGCAATTATTCTATATAGGATTTAGTTTGGTTTGGTATTATGTTCCCTGGCCTTCCACCCTTTTAAACCCTTGGCAACTTGTTGCTTGATCATATTTTCCTCTATCACATCACTAATATCAGACAGATGATTTTCTAAAATATATACCTTTGATGCTTGTCACACCTAATTTTCTAGGAAACCTTATACTTGTATTCTGATTATGCCTTCCTACCTAAAACATAGTCTGTGGTAGAAAGTAATCACTATTTTTCACCTGTTGTGTTACCTACTGTAGACAGATCCCGATTTTCACTCGCAATTTGGTGCTATTTTTGTTATTTTTCATGTACTGAGTTTTTCAGGGGTCTCTTGGAAGAAGCTGTTTATACTTTACTATGATTTGTGCAATTGATCTGTCTTGTTTACTGGGATGTTCTTGTACATTATAAAAGTTATTTTTGGGTTATTTTACTAAAGTTCATCATTTAACGATGTCTTTAGCTTCCTACTACAGTACCCTTTAGAGGATATTCTGTAGACCAGAATGTGAATGAATTTCAATACATTAATAAAATTAAAATTCATCATTTTGCTTCTGGTTATGATTCTTCAAGTCAAATGTAATATAGCAGGGGAATTATTATTTGTCCTGTGCCTAGTTAACACCACTTTTAACAATTACATGGAAATCTGTGGTCATGAAATTATCTTACTATAATGGAAATAGCATGTACATATTTATCAATATTTATTGCCAAAATAATAAATACAATGTGGCATCTATTGAATGGCACCAGAAACAAACGTTCATAAAAAAATTTCACGCTTTGGGTATTCAACATTCAGACAATTAGAAAAATAACTACTTCGTGTACAACAATCATTTCTTTATCACAGGACACAATTTTAAATAAAAGTACTCTCCTCACGACAAGAACACGACTTTCAGTAGGACTGTATGTGAGGATTTGATTATATCTTTATTAATGTAACTTGTAAATATAGTACTAAAAATGGACTTCTTAAAAAAATTATTTTTTCAATAAAGGGTACCACTTTTAATATATAAAAACAATATACTTTATATCAGTACAAACCAAACACTTTTCCTGTGCAATACTTCCAGAAAAATTCTTTTTTTTAGAAAATGTTCACTTTTTTCTGAAATCTTTTCAATGAGGTATGAATATTACAATTAATAATTACTAGCACAAACAGCTGCCTGTAGCACAGCGTTTCTGCTAGTTTTATTAAATAGACCAACAACTAAAAAAAAACAATGCCTTCTTATCGTAAGAGATTCCATATTTGAAAGACAATCCATTTGGGACTCTCACATTTTACACATATCTCAATTCTGCTTGATCACATTTTCAGTTATTGTTCTTGCTTGAGAACCCAAATTTTGTGGAATCAGTTGCTTTTTAACTCTTTCTGGTTTCCTTCTCCATCTCAATGTGGGTATTCTGCTTTTCATATTTCAGAGGTAAGTCTACCTGTTTTGAATTTTTACATTCTTATAATTAAAATGAGTTCAAAACAGGTACTTACCTCTGAAATACATCCCCACCCAGATTCCTCCAACCAGATACCATGAGACTACAGCTAATAAATCTCATTTAAAGCAGAACCTATAAATTCCTCCTGAACAAGCACAATAAGTGGAGAATTATGAGTAATTTGACCTGCATTGTGTCAAGGGCACTAAAAATTTTAGTCATATATATATATTTTCAAAGGTAAATATCTGTTTGAAATTCACTTACATTTATGCCAAGACTAGATTAAAAACATTCTTTGAAAATTACACAAATAACTGTAAGGAACCTTATTTTTAACTTACCATTTCACATTCTATTCACTTATATAGTAATGTTAGGAGAAATCAAATTACCAAATGAAGTAAGGCTATTGGAATATATACCAATACCAACTCAATGTTTATTAATGATGTGTAACATTCTCAGTGCAAGTTTTTTCTTCATGCCTTGTCAATTCAATACACATTATGTCATTAATAAAGCATTATTTTCAAAAATGTTAATTTTGTTATTGGCACATCAAATTTCTTACAAACACTAACCATTTTTTTTTCAATTCAGTAATTTGGACAATTTTGTATACATAGTTGAAAGTATTTTCAAGTACTGTGGTAACATTTTCAATTATACCTAGAAAGATGGAAAATCATTTAATACTCATGGTGAGGATACTTGATTAATAATTTATTTTTGTTGCTAATATGTTAATTGTTTAAAGCTTACAAGTTTGTTTAAAGAAATCTGAATATGAGTTTGTGAACTTCCAGGTTTTGCAGTTGCTGTATGACAAATCAAATGATCTAAAATACCCTGTAGGTCAAGACATTTCAGGAATAGTGCGACAGGTTGGTCCTGATGTTACAATGCTGAAACCTGATGATGAAGTAGTAGGTAAGTGATGAACATATGTCTCTGGTTATGATATGAATAATATTATTTCTTTACTCAGTTTTGAGTTATCTAAGTTAATATTTACTTTGGTTACAATACAAAGATAAACAGTTTCCTGAGAAATTTGCTAAACTTGCTAATGTTAAGATTAAAAAATAAAGAAGATAAACCTCACAAATAAATTTTATAAGCATACTACTTAAATGTATTAATTCTTATGCAATGATCTGTTGGTTTAGGTATTATACCACTAGACTTTGGGATCTCAGGATGTGCTGAATATGTGGTTCTGAACGAATTTGATGTAGGTGAGTTTGTTTCAAATGGTTTTGTTACTGATCTTGAGCTGTTTTTGTACAAATATAATGTTAGTCATGCTGGTATTCAACATTTATCTACCACTGTGTGTGTGTCTGTGTGGTAGCTATAAAACTATTAATAAACTAATATAAAAGCCCATGAAACCATTGTTGAATGATTAACAAAAATTATAGAATTTAATTGAGAGAATTTGACTTTACCTCCAAAATGCACCAATTTTTCACTTATTTCATCAGTCTTGAAGTAATTCTTTAATCACCACATTTTTAGTAAGAATTACGGAGAAAAATGAAATGTTATCATGAACAAAAGTATGTGTGCACTCTGAAAGAGACTTAGATAGTACTCTTGAGCCTTTTCACTGTATTCTAGGCCAGGAATTCGAAAACATAGTGTGGACATTCTACACAAATTTTTAATTCTTTTTGACTGTACAAAGGATAAAAGATATTTGGTAGTAATAAACGTTTATTTTTCTTTATTTTTAAGGCCAAATAGATAATATCTATGTTAAAATACCAGAAGAATATTTATTAATTAACAGTTATTCACCACTTAAAACTTTTTAAACACCAACACAAATTTTCCACTCTTTCTACTGTACAAAGGATAAAAGATATTTGGTAATAATAATAAGCATTTATTTTGCTCTATGTTTTAACTCTCTGAACAAGGGCTTGGTCGATTTGACTGACAATGTGACCTCATTATACTCATTTAAAGTCTTTATAGATTTGATACTACTAACTTTTAATGTAGTATGTACACCTTCACAAAATTTGGCAATCTTTCAGTAAACATTATAAGTCTTTCATATATAAAAATTCATATTTCTTAGTGAAGCATTTTAAATAAACTAAAAAAGGATTTGTCTGTGTATATATCGAGTAGTTGTTTTAAATAGTCCTTGTGCAAACTGATTTTCATTATAAGATTAAAAATACTTTTCTTCATCTCGAAAATCTCAAATTTCATTTGTATAATCTCCAAAACTTCCTAAGAACATTTCAAATGTTTATTAGCAGTAAAACTTTATATTTTATTTGTTATTTTCTCTACCCTAACTCTATACAAGGTTGGTTAATTTGATTGACTTTGTAGCCACCAAAAAAAATCTAAATTATCTTTTTTTCTTTCTAGAATGACTTCAAATTGTAACATGAAGTAGCTTTAAACTCCTAGCAGTATACATCTATTTATAATTAAATTTTATTGGCCTTTGAATCGTGTCTAACTACTATTCGCACCATTATAAGTTGTAAATCACTTGGGGAAAGTGAAGCTCACGTTACTTTACCAAATTACTTTACCCATGAGTTGCTCTTGTGCATGACTTGTGAAACATTTTTATTATATTATTATTTATTTTACCTAATCAAACCTTAACTAACCTAAAGAGATCCTAATTTGACATTTTGGTAATTTTTATTTTCCCAGCTGCTTTTGAGCCTGCAACTTACTTGATGGCTGAAAAGTCTGGAAGCAAATTTGTTTTGTTTTTTCTCCATACACGAATATTGTGTTTTATACTGAAAGGTTTATTTCTTAGTTACGTGAATTGACAGTTAGGCTTTATCTGACTCATTGTCAGAACTTTGTGATTTTGCCTACCACCACCAGGTGGAGGCATTTTATCCAATTCTCAAATAATACATCTGCTTCTCAAATTTCAGGGTTCTAAGGCAAAGTTTGTAGTTCATATATATAGGTCTACGGCCCCTTATGAGACAGAGTAAGTCTACGGACTTACAACTCAACTTCAACATTTTGTTTCCTTTCACTTAACTTTGTTAAAAGACTCAGGATCATCAGCTTCATTGAGGATGAGCCGGATCCATTGTTAACATGCACATTGGTTCAAATCTCGGCTTCTACATTCTTCCGGTTGCTGTTGGAGTCTCGAATTTCATCAGCTCCAACAGGGGGTCATAGTTCTGCCCCTACTTGTAAGTACCAACCCCCAACATCAGCTCCTCAGTACATTGGTACTCAGAATAAATTCTGTCTATATTCAAGGATTCCTCTGCTTAGTCAGATTGCCAATAGCTATGGTGATTATAGTATACCTTCAAGGCTGTGGGGGCTTGGTTCCAAGAATTTCTGGATGTGTGGTAATCTTAACCATGGGTCCAGAAGCTCTGAAGGTCCTTGGGTCACAATTAGTCATTCAGTTCACATATTCCCCACTATTTTCCACCCAAACTGTAGGGTTTCCTTTTTCTGCAGTTCATTGGGATTTGGAACTTACTTCTAGGGTTATCTGAGTCTAGTTTGTCTGGGAGTAGTGAGAGAGAGTTGGGCTAGTTCTTCAGAGTTTTTATTACTGTTAGTTGTTGGGCCTATGAAGACAGGAGATTGGTGTCCAGTTATTGATCTTCCTTGTCTATATCAATGCCTAGATTCTCTAAGGTTCACAAGTTACTCATTCCTCAATCTGTTTTGATTCTTTTTTTTTATTTACTGGGATTGTAGATGTCCAACTTGGTTGTAGTCGGCTCCTATCTGCATTTTGCCTTAGCAGTAGATTCCCACCACTGTTGGCATTTGTAGTGCACAAAGATCAGGTACTGCAGTTCCGGGCTCTTTTCCTTAGGACTAGCATAGGCTTAACATCTGTCCTGCTGTATCATACATAGAAGTTTTCTCATCCTCTTCATTCCATTGTACTGTGCACACACTATTCCACAGACAACTGATTACTGTTGGCAATATCTTGTAAATTGTTAGACCCTCACATCCTGATTCTACTTCCAATACAACCCAGGCAGGCTTCCCTTTCGGGACTGTGACATCTTTTCTTGCTCCAGTTCAATATGTCATCAGTATGGGTATTTTTTATTTTTCTTCTCATCTCTCAGTTGGGGTCAGCTGTCTCCCATCCTGCTCAATGCTATAGAATAGGATGCCACACTTTTACTCATCTCTCTCACTGCATGGATGGTTCTTTTTCTTCTTTGAATGTGGGCATCACTTGAATCCTTTGTGCCTTTGGGATTGTATACATCTATTTTCTTGTTTTCCCAGTTTCCTTAGGCAGTATCATTCTTTGATCTTGAGGGGTTGTTAAGTCAGGACAATACTATGATTTGGTTCCTCTACTGCCACCTCACCCAGAGTTCCATTCTCTTCACGAATGCGTTGCTTAAGGGAGGGGGTACATATACCAATAGTCAGGAATTTCAGAGTCTATGCATGGATGACTAGGATTCCCTACGTAATGTTTTCATCCTTCTTGCTCTTCAACAGGCAAGGCCTCATGGACTGGGCTTCTTAACCCTTTCCAGACAGGTCATGGTTGAAAGGCTATGTCATTGCATTTGTTGACTCAAATTCAAAATTTTATTGAATTACTATTTCATGAATTTATGTAAATAAGTTTGGTATCAAACTGTAGATTATAATTCAGGTTGATAAATTATAGAGGAATTCTATGGTATCGATATAGTAATTTATGATTTTTTTGGTAATTCAACTGTACATATAAAATCCTAAAAAAATATTTTGTTTCATATCCTCCACGTACAAAATTTTAAAAGGCTTAGCAACTTACAAGAAGCAGCAACCGAGTACAAAGGTCGTAATTGGAAGAGATGATTGGTTGCTTTACTTCTTTATTTTCTGTTCTATGTTTAAGAAAAGTAAATTTAAGAACTTATTTCTTAATAGCAAAAATCTATATACTTATATACTCTATAATAATTGAAATGTGATTGTATTTTACAAAATATTAGTCTACCAAAACACAGCCAAGACAGGTCACTTTGTAAAGACTAATGGTCAGTTTTATATTATTGGATACGGTAACATGAGTGCACGTGAGCTGCGTCATTGTAACTTCTGTATTGTTAGCATGGCATGGCTGAAAGGTAATATAATAAAAAATAATAAATATATATAAATGTATAATGTTATG